TACAAAGGCTTGAAAGAGGATCCCTTCCATCTTCTCTTAGGCAGGGCCTCCAGCGTTCATGAGTGCGCTTTGTCAGTGATTGGGTGGTACAGGGAAAAGCTACCTGAGAATTTGGGAGTAAGGACACCAGATGTTGACCTGAAAATCCTGTGACTAATGGATCAGAGAACAGATATGCAAAGTCACCAAAAGAGGCTCAGCTGGCTGGCAGGACTTGACTGCAACCTGATTAAATATATTAACATATGGAAAGAAGTGTCATTTGGAAGGAGGGCTGAGTTTTCTCCCCCCAAATAATTACCTGCCCCCTGACGGTTTGCCTTTAAAGCAGACTGTCCACAAATGTTTATGAACTTGAATTGGAAAGGAAATGAACAATATCTCCACGTATTGACCGCCAGAATGCCAGGCTTTATGCTAAAGGTCTTTAGTACATTATCTTATTTGAGTCTCACGATGGCTAAGGCCAGTATTATCAACCTATTTAACAAATGTTTAGAGAAACACATGTGTTGCCCAAGTGATAGTCCAAGCTATAAGGTGGCAGAACAAAGACCAGACCTCAGAATCCAAGCTCCTGACTTCCATGCTGCCATAGGCCAGTCTCCATTCCAGGTATCCTTCACCTGGATCTTGAGTGGTTTTCTGGGATTCCCGCAACCCAAGTTCCTGTTCATTTTGACAGTGAACCAAAGAAGTGGGAAGTAAACTTGGCTCTCCTACCTCCCTTTTGGATGACCCAAAAGAACATAAATTTTGCAGGGTCTTTAGCATCTGAGCTGTCTAAAACCTTGGAAGTGTCAAACCAGTATCACTGTGGAAGAGAAGCAGAAAGTCTCTGTCTGAGCCCTGATTCTGCAAGCGACTACCTGGGTGATATGAGAGAAGTCACTAAGCCTCTCTGGTCCTAATTTTCTCATTTTAAAATGAGAGCAGTAGACCAGATTGCATCTAACCAGGTCAGCACTATCACCCTGGGATTCTGTAGTTCAATCATAAGGGTAAAATCTCTATAAGGGTAGAGGTTGCAAGGAGAGAGGCAGATTCCTCACTAAAGTGTTTCTATTTCCAGTGATGGAGCTATTTTTATATTTGATCTGGTTCTCTCATGCATGTTGCATGTTGTGGGATGGTTTTCTGGGTCAATCTTTCTCAAATAAACTGTCATGTAATCCATGACCAGGACAGTTGCCACTGTAATGAGTTAACACCTTTTCCCCACATTAACACTGGCTCTTTTGAAATTGCTTTGCCCCAGTTACATGACCAGTCTTCAAAGAGCTGTGATGTAGGGGATCCACCTGTCTGGGGTTTCAAAGGGGTATCCTGGAGGGAGTGGTGCAGAGTTTCTCCTCTATCCTTTATTCATGCATTCATTCAGTACTTTGTTTTTCTTGCGTGCTTACTTTGTGCTAGGAACTTAGAATACAACAGTGAACAAAGAATAGACAGAACCCCTACCACCAAGAAGCTTTCACTGGTGGAGAAAACATTAATCAAATAATCATACAAAGTTTAATTGTACTGTTATGTGTGCTACAAAAGAAAAGCACAGGATGCCCTGAGAGCCTAAAACTGGGAGGCCAGAGAAGGCTTCCTTTGGGAGGAACTGTTTGAACTGAGTTCTAAGAATGAGTGGTAGTTAACAGGTGCCAAGGGAAGGGAAGAGAATTCTTGGAAAAGGAAAGAGCATGGGCGGGTCTGTAGAAGGAGGAATTATGAGACTAAAAGGAAGCCAGCGTGGTAGAGCACAGAGAAAAAGAGGGCATCAGGGAACAAAAACTTTTCCTCTACCCTCTTAGGTTCAGTCATGAGTGGGCCTGTGAATTAAACTAACAAAAGATAGATTAACAGGAGAAAAGAAATTAGCCATAGGCATAGTGGAGATTCCAAAAGTAGTAGCTCAGTAAATGGTTAAAGTTATAGGCTTATAGACCTAACTTAGTAAGGAAAAGGGGAGAAAAGGCCACTCTGGGGAGAACAAAGGGGTTTCTCTAGAAAAGACAAATAGCTTTCCAGAAATACAAATGGGGCGTAAGAAAAGTTTGTGATAATGCTTATTTATGCAGATACAAGCGGTCTTTTTGACTTCTTCATGGTCGTAAAACTTTCCCAGGGAGGGGATTATGGTAGGTTTACTCTTGGTCTCCTCAGGAGTAAAAGTTACCCTCAAGAAGGAATTTGTGGCAGTTTCATTTCCCAGAAATCTCTGTTTTTATTAAAGAAGGGAAGAAGGCTTCTTACTGCACTTGTTGAATCCTCAATGTCCTCAGCTTGAAATAATCTTCATACCAACTCTGGGGTTCAAGATGGGTCCCCACAGGAGGTGATGCTGGAGAGGTAGCTGGGGCTAGATGACCCACAACAAAACACGGTAAACTATGTTAATTTCACCCTTTTCCTTAGAACAATAGGAAGAACGGAAGGGTTTTAAGCAGCGAGAACTACTGGATTAGATTGCATTTGTTAAACTTGGGGTGCATTTAAGAACTCCAAGAATCGATGTTGAATAGGCAGCTAGCCGGATGTGCCAGTTTGAAACTCAGAAGAGAGCTCTAAAGATCCTTGTATGAGTCATCTACATATAGATGGTAATTATAGACTAGTGTGCAGAAGAGATCACCTAAGGAGAGAACGTATAGGAACAAAATGTTCCTTCCTACCCACCTGTAAAAGAAAGAAAGAAAACAGAGAGAGTGAAAGAAAAGAAAAAGTTGTAGGGAAGGGAGACTAGGGTGCAGGAAAGCAACACATTTCTAGGTTTGCAGATAGGATCTCTGTGAAACTGTATTATTTCTATTACTTCATTGCAACTTGGACCTTGGATTTGTCTCCTTATGTGACAAGTGGAATTAAAAATCCCTACTTCAGCTACTTTAAAGGGACTGTTGGAACTCAAACGAGTAAGAAAAAATTTTGAAAATACAAGGTTTTATAATACTATTTTTGGTGCTATTATTACTAGCACCAATAATGGTATCATTGTTGCCTGAGAAGGGAAGGAAAGTGAAGCAGAGAAAATTCATTTCTTGTAAGCTTACTAATATACTACACCGTGCCAGTCAATTTGCATTATTAATCTTCACTACAAAGATAACAAGGTAGGTACAATATCCCCATTTTACAGATGAGAAGCTAAGCTGAGGCTGAGCAAGGTAAAGAGATTGCCTAAAGTTTCATAGCTAGGACAAAATAGAACTGAGGTTCACATTCACATCTGATACCATGGCCCACGCTTTAAAAAAAAAAGTTTTCTCCCCTACTGTGCAAACTACCCCCTCCACCCCACTCCACACACACAGATTTTTCAGCTCAAACAGTGTAATACAATCAAAGTGAATATCGAATGTCACAGGGTCATAAGATCTGAACTGTACCACTCCCCTAGCCTCCTCTAGATGGGTAAATCTATTGTTCTTCTGAACAATTGGGGAATGAAGAATAAGGTCAGCTTGGGTGCCCTGCTGCCCTGCTGCTGTGCATGCAGTTTGACAAATAGTGTTACATTATTTATTGACTCATCTATGTCATCACAGACTCTTTACATGAAACATTGGCAGCTGTTTATCTAAAGAGCTGGAAATGTATAAAATCCCCATCTCTGGGCCATGCAGATCAAATCCCATTGCATCAAAGGTAATTTTTCAAGCCTCAACCAGTTGGGTTTCTGATAGCATAGGAACAGCTCTCAATGAACAGCAAGGAACTTTGGACAGTAAGGGTGGGTAGTTATTCAACAATGATATATGAGAACATTAACACTACAGAGGAGATATATATGTATGTGTATAGCCTGCCCTCAAGGAGCTTATGCTCTAGATATCATGTATCAGCCATCCTACCAGGCATCATAAGTGAGAAATAGCTGGTCTTGTTTCAGAGAGAGGTCATAGAGCTTATGTGACTAGGGAGGTTGAGGACAAATTCACAGGAAAGTTGCTGCTTGAGTTTTGAAGAAAAGGCAAGGCTCAGATGGGCATGTAGGAACATTCCAGGCAGAAGGAACCACAGGAACAAGGCACAAAGGTTGGAAATTAGAAAGGCAGGTTTAAGAATGGAGGCAGGGCCCACGTGGGAGAAGCAGCAGTGCTAGTTGGGGAGCTTGCTTCACTTAGTAACATAATCTCTAGGTCTACCCATATCACTGCAAATGGCATTATTTCATTTTTTATGGCTGAGTAGTATGCCTTGTGTGTGCACGCGTGCGTGCACATGCACGTGTTTATCTTCTTTATTTTCAGTTTTATTAGGTAGAACTGTTACAATTTGACTGCACATATACAATATATTGCATATAAACAATATACTGCATATATTTTTTAAATTTATACATATGGACTGTTCATTATTTCTAATAACGTTTACAGCTTTAGCTTTTTAAACTTACATAGTTATCAAAGGAATAAAACCAACCATAAAATAAGAATTCAAAAAGATACATACACTCCGCTATTAACAGCAACATTATTTACAATTGCCAAGATATGGAAGCATCCTAAGTGCACATTAATAGATGAATGGATAAAGATGATGCAGCATATTATATATATCTTCTTTATCCAATCATCATGGACATTTAAATTGCTTCCATGTCTTAGCTATTGTAAATAGTGCTGCTATGAACATTAAGATGTATGTATCTTTTCAAATCAGAGTTTTATGTCTTTTCCGAGAGTAGGATTGCTGGATCATATGATAACTCTATTTTTTAAGAAACCTCCATGCTGGCCTCCATAGTGGCTGCACCAGTTCACATTCCCAACAACAGTGTAGGAGGGTTCCCTTTTCCCCACATTCTCTCCAGCATTATTTCTATACTTTTTGTTGATGGTCATTCTGACTGGTGTGAGGCAATATCTCATCATAGTTTTAATTTATTTTTAAAATACACTTTTTTAAAAGACAACACTATTGCACACTTAACAGACTAGAATATATAGTGTAAACATAACTTTTATATCCACTGGGAAACCAAAAAAAAAAAATTTAAGGTGACTCACTTTGTGGCAGTAACCACTTCATTGCCGTGGTCTGGAACCAAACCCGAAGTTATCTCCAAGGTACGCCTGTATTTATTAGCCTTAAAGGCATTACCAGCCCAGCGAGAGAAAGCTGAGGCTCAGAGACGGAACATGATCTGTAAGGACACACAGATGGGAATGTGTTTGGTGAGACTCTGAACCTACCTCAGTATGTCTCCTTAACACCTGAACTTTCATACCACATCCATACTCAGCAGTCAGGCCTGTCTATGTGGGAAGCTGACATGCGTCTCTGACTTTCACAAGAAACCCGTCTCCATTGTGATTTCCTTCACATTAACCCTGGGAACTTGCAGCATCTTGTCTGAGTTCCCTCCCTGAATACTTCCATCTAGTAGCAGCTGAGAACCTATGACTTCTCCCTTCCTGCTTTTAAAAAGAAAAATTTCTGTAGAAAATTAGGAAAATCCTGAAATGCACAGGAGGCAATTAAAAAAATAATAATCCATAATTACAATGTTGCAGACAAATGTGTTACAGCTAGGTGTTACAGCTCAGTTGTGACACCAACCTGGTTCCCTACGAGACACCAAGCAGCACTTGGAAAGATGAGGAACTCAGGTTTATCACACCAACGACCCAGAAGAGTTAACACTTCAAACTCTGGACCCCGTCTGTAGGGTTACACAGGCCTTTTATAGGCTGCCAGTTTTACACTTTGCAACATCATATGCAAATAAAGTACAATAGAAGTTGACCAACCAGAAACAAGCTTTGTAGAAATAGACCAATCAGAAGTGAGCTCCATGCAAATAAAGTACTACAAATGGACCAATCAGAAGTTAGGGAGATGGACCAATCAGAAGTGAGAGTAATAACCAATCAGAAGTGAGAGTAATAACCAATCAGGAGTGAGAGTAATAACCAATCAGAAGTGAGAATAATAACCAATCAGGAGTGAGCTCAGGGAACCAATAGAATTCTAGGTGTAAGTTAGCCCCTTTAGAGGCAAAACGTGAGATAAAGCGTCTGGGCCAGGGACCCAGACGCTAGTGAGAGGAGAGCAGTGGCCCCGCGTAGGGGTCCTGCCGGTCTTTTTATGGGGCTTCCCGCTTCAGCAAAACCTTAAGATGAACCTTTTAAACGGCTTGACCAATTTCCTTCGCATATAGTGTGTTTTTCACAGGCCTGTTGATCCAGCCTTTGCACCAGTTCCTGTCCCAGATGGTGGTAGTGTTCACAGGCAGAGTCACACAAGGAGCTGCGGTCGGAAGGCCCAAAAACAATAACCAGCACCCCCTACATCCTAGAAGCTTCTCCTCTCATGGGTGAGGACTTTCCCAAAGTGGCCCCCACAACGCTATGTCCTGTCATCTTCCAGCCTCAAATGAAAGTCAGAATTTTGGAACCAACTTTTGGAGAAATTTGGAGCATTGATACACAAAAATAGGTGCACACTTTCCTCCCTGAGCTTCTTATCCTGAGCATAAAGCTGATTTGGTTCAAATCTGAGCCTGGCACCCCACACAGGCTAAAATGGGGTGTATATTCACAGCCCTAGTAATTATCCAGGTTGTAAATCACCCAGTCTTTATTCTTCTAGACTAACAGAAATAGAATGTGAACTACATGCGTAATTTTAAATTTTCTAGTAGTCACGAAAAGTAAAAAGGAACAAGTGAGATGAACTTGAATAACATTTTATTAACCCAACATATCCAAAATATTTCATCGGCATGGAACAATATTAAAAATATCATTAAAGAGCTATTTCATATTCCTTTTTTGTTCTGAGTCTTTTGACATCTGGTGTGCATTTTATCCTTAAAGCACATCTCAGTTTGGAGTAGTCACATTCCAAGTGCTCAGTAGCCATAAGTGGCCAGTGGCTGCCATGCTGGACAACGTAGTTCCAGACCAACTTTAGCTCCATTTAGTGACCTGCAGCAGCCTCCCTAACCACATCCCCATTCTCCAGTCATTTCCCAGCTGGTCCTGAATGCTCCAAGGGTGGGAGAAGAGAAGAAATGATCTTTTCACACCGTGGAGGGGTCCTGCCCTCCAGCATAGTGGTAGGCGAGAAACAGAAGCAGATGAGAGTCTCTGCAAGTCTGGTGATGGTGTGTTGAGCATCATCTAAGCATGTGAGTCCAGATCGTCCTCAGGGAAGACAGGAGAAGCAGAACCCACTCTCTTCTCAAAGCCCTCCCCAGGGCTTCCTATTGCAAACACAATAAAGTTCAAACTCCGTAGTCTGCCACCTGGCACTGATTTACCTAATCTCCAATTTTATTTCTCACAACTGCCCTATGGGACCTTAGCTCAAGCCAAGCCAAAGCAACCTGGTGCTCCAGAAACATGCCTGGCATTTTCCTGCCTCCGCATCCTTGTGCATAATGTATACTCCAGCTGGATTGTCCTCACCTGCTCAGTTCCCACCTAATTCTGACAGCCCTGTTCTCCATCTCTTCCAGGAAGCCTTTTTTAAAGATTCCTGCTTGAAAGGTCTTTGTCCTCCTCTGATACCTACAGCATATTTATCAGCAATAACCAGGTCGGTAGTTCTATTTTAGGACATGCCTTACTTTTCACTTTAGGCTGTAAATACATGAAGGGCAAGGGTCAGATCAGAGTCTTGGGTAATTATAAGTGATGGTTAATGTCCATTGAGCATTTACTTTGTTCCAGGCACTGTGCTAAGCATTTTATGTTTAATCCTCACAACAACCCTGGCAAATTATTCCCGGTTTATAGGTGAAAAATAGAGGCAAAGAGAAAGCCTTACTAGTCACACAGCCACGTGTGGCTTCAAAGCCAGGCAGATTGAATGCAGAGCCTGACCACATCCCACTCACCCCACTCAAGCACCCGCCTCTCCTGCTGCGGTTGTTCCTTTCCTAAGACAGTACCCGTGAACTTGGTAGACAGCAAATACACATTGAATTATACGTCAACTACTTGGGGTTTTTCCAGAACATCTAACAGTTTTAGGCACATAATAGTGATTTAATAGAGATTTAAAAATTAATGCCCTGCACCTGCTCAGCCACCACAGGACTGGACAATCCTTGCATGGCCAGCCAGGCTCATTTTTCCATCTCCCACTGCCTCCTCAGCACCAACCGACCGCACAGAGCTGCACCCTCAAAGGCTGCTCTGAAACTAGATGTCAGCTTTCTTCTCAGTCTTGGGGCACGTCTTGTGCAGGAGAAGATATGGACCTGGATAATGGGGAGCAAAGAACATCCCCACGGGACACAGGGGTGTCCCCCCATTTCCATTAACTTTATCTGCTTGTTTGGGGCTCTCATCTCTAAGAGGCAATTTAATACCCCTCCTGGAACCCTGAAGTCACATATTCTTTCCCCAGAGGGCTGAGGTGATAAGAAAGTCCAACGTTTAGGATTACCCTCGGATAAGATACTTGTTTAAACAAGATTGCATATAAAAGCTGGGCTGATCCCCACACCCCTCTGCTCCCCTCTCTCCTTCCTTCCTCTTTTGCCCGGAAGATTGCAAGATTGTGCAATCCACCCCAGAGACTAGGGCTCCGACGGACCCAGTTCGAATTGCTTGTGAACATGCAACACTGTTCCCCAGCCCTTAGCTCCCTCCCTTCCCCACTCCCTCCCTCCCGGGAGTAGTGGCTTGGGGCTCCCCTGGGGGCTGATGGCTCAGACTCGTTTCTGGGCACTTCCTACTGGCACTTGCTCATTTACATTTAAAACTGGAGCAAAGTTCAACAGCGGCTGGCTTCAGCACCCTAGGAGTTGCCCCATCCTGGTTAGAAAAATGCAGACAATAGCAACGTGGAAAATGGCCTCTGAAAATAGCACAGCCCCACGGTCTTTTGGCAACAGGTCTCTGTGTGGTGAGTCCCCGGCTCTGCCACGGTGGACACACCCCGGTATGTAAATAGCAGTGAGAAAGGCCACTTGTGCCACTGTTAGGTTTTGTGGAGGCAGGTTCTTCCCTCCCCCACTCCCCTCCCTCACCCCCACCTCAGGCTTGGTTGTATTTTTATTTTGTTTTGCTTAAATTGGAGATGAAAGTGTGCGCACTGTGGGTTGAGGCCTTGTGGCCCTGCCCTTGAGCTGTAAGTTCCTTCCTTCCCCCTTTCAGTGTTGCCGGCTCGGCTCCGGCTCCGCTGTCTCAGCACTGCCCTCCCCTGGCCCCCTTTCTGAAGACCTGTCACCCCAGCTGCAAAGTGGGGGTAACTCCACTGCAGCCTTGAGTTGGGAGGGTCGAGTGAGGCAGCAAAGCCCCACGCCGGGTGCCAAGCCCACCTCGACAGGCCTGCAGCATCTCAGCCATGCTGAGGATGGGTCAATGCAGGTTGGCACTGGTGTGGGGAGCTGGAGTGGGGGACCCCCCACGCACACACACACAGATCTCGGCAGGCTGCCCCAGCAGCTGGGCAGGGCTCTGGGACCTTCAGGTGGAAGCAGCCCGCTCCCTCAAAGGATCCCCGTTGGCAGGATTCCTGGCCAGGGCCGGCAGCCCTTCAGCATAGAACTTTCTGTACATTCCACAGCAACTGAAAGGGCTTTTGTCCCCACACAGGAAGAACAAATGACAAAGGCCATTGTGTATAGGCCGGCACAGCAGGCCTGGAAAGACAAACTTCTTTCTCCAGAAGGCCAGCTCTGCCTGAGTGGCTGCAGCAAGCATATGTGGTCCCACAGCCACGCAGCTGGGGAGCAGCATGGGGTCCGAGTGCCCACGTGTGTGGCAGGGTACTCTTCACGCACGCAGCACACACATTCACACACAAAGCCCCAAACTGCCCCTGCCCAGACTAGCAGGGCCGAGAGCCACAGGTGCTGAGCTGCACTGGGCCTCGGGGAGCCCTGCAGCCCACGCCCTCTCAGCCCCCAGCAGCTTGCAGCTTGATTAGTCCTCTTTTCCAGGGAAGGCCTCCAAAGGCCAGGGGGTCCTATAACTGGTCACGGGGTCACACCGTTCTTTTCAGGCCTCACAGCCCATTCTCATGAAGAACACTAGGCAGCATCAGAGAAAGATCTACAGACATCTATCCTGGGGTCCCTTCAAGCACATAGTTATTCACGGCCTATTGGGAGGGTCGAGACACTAGAGGGCCCACATGAGGTCAGTTACATGGAAGACATTGTTCTGATTGCGAGAGGGTGGAGCTCTCCTCCTGCCATTCTCTCCCTCCTTATTGTCCCCTTTTCTCCTGGAACTGTCCTAATAGAAGAGTGAAGGTTCGGAGGGTTTTAAATTTTGTTTGTTAAAGGAAAAAGCTTTTTTTATCAAATGATCATTTCAGTGCCCCATTAAATGGAATCACTCAACCTGTTTGCCCTGCAGCCATAGCTGCCAGAGTGTTCAGCGCTGAGTTTGGGCATCAGTTTAAATAACTAATTCAGCCCAGGTGCATCTGATGCTCCTAACAGTTGTCTGCCGTGGTGTTTGCTTTTATTGTTTTGTTTTGGGTCTTGTTGTAGCCCAGGTCTAAATGTCATATTAGTCTTTGTGCTGTCCAAAAAAAACTTTCACTGACCTGGAGGGGTTGAGAAATTTCAGTGTTATTTCTGGCTCTACCTGACTGACCATTTCCACCCTGAGCAGGACATTCCCCTTCTCTAGACCTGGATTTCCTCACTTGTGAAACACGAGGATTGACCCGTCCCTGTCTCTCTAGTTTGCCTGTTAGAGCATCACCTGGGACTCTCATTGGA